CCCTAAATATTGACCAACTCATGCTGCTTTTGGTCGTCTGCCAAAGAATTCCTTTCACCTTTAATGGTGTAATATACGGGCAGGTCATAGGGACGTCGATGGGGTCCCCAATATCTAATCTAATCGCAGAAATGATCTTGCAGGGGTTGATAGAAGTCGCCTTCAACCAGTACGAACCTGCGTTTTGGCACCAATACGTGACCGACATGTTCGTTATAATCAAACAAAGCAGACTAACAGACTTCCAGGACACGCTAGACCGTATATTCCCTGACATCCAGTTTCACAAGGGAAGAAAATAATGCTTCAGAACTGCCCTTCCTTGACGTCCACGTCACACGCGGAACCAGTGGAGAACGCAGCGCTACGGTGTATATAAAGAGGACTAACGAAACTCTTATTTGTGCATGCATTATCCTACATATCGTTACCTCTGACGAAGGGTTCTTGACAGAATCCGAAACGTCAGGCAAATAAACCTCTTGTTCCAGTGATCGCATCTTCTACTTCTGAAACTCAGGTGCCCAACTACCATAGCAATCACCCAATGACACATGAAAGAGGCTGTATGTGAGCACTCTTCCGGAAGGTAAAAACAGATTGCAGTGAACGTGAGCGACGAGTAAGAGAACTACGTCATTTTTTGGACCAACTGCCAAGGAATGGATACCTGAACAGCTTCTTCAGCCACTGCTCCCGGACGCGCCTACGGGGAACAAACGGAGAAGAGCCACCAACACTCTGGCACCCTCTATCATATATAAAAATGTCAGAAGCAATGGATCATATTACTGAGGGGTAGCCGTAGGTATCGCCCATCGTCCGACAGCTACCACGCGTGCTCTATTAATGCAAATAAAAGACTGTATGGAGGTAGGTGAGCTGTCTGGTGTCGTTTGTCAAGTATCATGTCGCGACTATTTTTGCCATTATTCAGGACAGAGCAAACAGCGACTTAGCTCGCGAATAATGGAACACTAACGCTCAGTGCGGAAAGGCGAGCCAGAGTCTCAGCTATCTACACCCAAGAGGAAGGCCACGAATTTAACCCCCACAGGTACGCGGATAATAACGCGGTCTCGTAATAAGACGGGGCGAAATTTATTGGTGACCAATGTATCTGACTCCAACTCCACCAACAGCCATTTTCGTATACCCCCTCCTATCAGGCCCTCGTTACCGCGACCAAGAGGCACGGCCCAGTTCCCAGCCGAGGACGTACGGTGTGGGCGCGGACTCAACCTACCACAAATGCAAACTCCTCCTCCCCTTTTCTTGTAGATGAACTACAAAAACACGTCACTTCTTGTTTCACACTCCCTGTCTCTGAAGATGGCCCCTTGTTCTAAGCCGGAAGCTCAAACAAATAAAAATTCTGTCCCAGTTATCGCGCCTTCATCCTCTCAGTTAAAAATCTATTTAGAATGTATATTGTACTGGATTTTCTTGTGCCCAGCGCTATCTCAAACACGGAATCTCGTGGCCAATGGAAGGGCGCAGACGAGTTGCATGGAGTAGTTGGGAGGAGGCATCTACGATCTTTTGAGCAAGAAGTTTATTCGCCCGATGTTTAGGATACTTTGACCCGCAGTCCGCTAACAAGAGTGGAGTTTGTCGGATCTCCGTTATTAAATATATTGTGGAGCAATAAGGTAACGTAAAAAAAGTAGGGAAAAAATAACAGCTTTTTCGTTTGAAAGACTCTAAAAGGTCGAAATAAGTCCTCGAACGTTTAGCTAATCCATTATCCACCAGAAAACGTGGGAGGACTTTGACTGATTTAGGTGGTAGACTTGCCGGGGATATCGATAAGTTTCCCCACAGCTTCTATACAGAAATACATCTCGGTCAAACAACCTATAAGTAGGCGATTGTAGCGTTGCCAATCCTCTGACAGTTATTGGCTCTGCTGCCTTAGGATGCAAATGGGTTTTACAAACCACCTCCCCTTCGGCTGCGGTCCTCCAGGGCGCTTCTGTAGGTTTCCAAGTCCCGAGTTATGCCGTAGGGGTATAGATGGTAGAAAAGGTATTCCGCCATGTACATATCCGCAGGACGCATATAGTGAAAGGAGATTGAATGGTCACTGCAGCAGTTAACGCCCTGAAAAAACAAACAGCACACGATGGGAGGAGGCGGAGGTATAAGTTGATACAAACAGGCTAGCCTAGTAATAGCAGTTCCTAGGACATATGTGTATAACATGATTGTGTTACAGTATGTCAATTTTATCAGCACAATGGATTTCTCCCTGTGACCTGCATGCGAGGCGACAGATCGTCAGTCAACATATGGACAGTTGCAAAAACGTAACTACTGACGAAACTGTGATAGGTGGGCTGATGAGGTCGTTGCAGGAAGAGTTGAAACGAGAAGAGCATACGGCGGAGTGAAAGCAGGGATAGAGTTATGAGGCAGATTCGTGGCTTAGGCTGTCAACAAGTTAGCACGTTCAGGGGAGCTAGGTCAGATTAACAACCTATAAAGTGTCTAGACACCAGAAAACTTGAGGCGAATTCTACACAATTTCCATAATATTCTCAAATCAGTATTCTCAGACATAAAGCTCATGTGCTTAAACTGTCCTTGTAACTTAACGTGTCAGCATGGACGCAGGCTCGTATCGCGCAATGTCTTGATTACACCACAGTGATGCTCGCCGATGCGGCTTAATTGCTGGACAGAATACAGACATCTCCTACTGCTGTATTCTACGTCTTTTTTCAGACTAGCTACAGTATTCTTGGTCATTTTGCTGTTTGCTAAGCAAAGTTATTTCTCCCACCAAAGGATGGAGCTAGATGGAGCAAGGCTACTATTATGACCACTCCCTCACCCAGCAATTGATGCCTATGTTGTCATCACGTGCTTAAAGGTAGACTTCTATATTTGGTTTCCGGTCTCGAAAAGGATAACTTTGACAGTATAGTCTGACGATGCATTTCAAAACTTCAAGCGATTGAGTATCTTGGCCCAGCGAGTACAGCTGCTTCTTCTCACCTTTGACAGTGTTACAGAGTGCCGACTGAGGTCCGGCTATATAACCAAAAAAATTACACTTCTTTAAACGTACCTCCCTTAGGTATTTGCCGGGGGACAATATGCGCCATAAAACCACACGAAAAACTCCGTTCGCTTAACATACAAGACCCGTTGAAGGCTACTTTAAAGAATACATGACCCTCCGGGATGCTTCCGATAAGGATGCAGAGAAACCCGGTCTGGACGTTTGTTGGTAAGCTGACCGTTGTAGGTCGCTTACCCAAAACTCCGACCTCACTGGCCCATTAAACAAAGTTGGTTCGACGAGAAACATGCTAATACTACAACACACATGTACTGAAATCTCAAAAATTATTTTAAGCACCCAGTTATTGTTCAATCAAGTTTGCGTGCGAAGAGCGTGTCAGCCAGCTCTTATTCCCAGTACCCATTGTCTGTTCGGACTGGATAGTCGACTGGTGCCCGGAGGCTAACAATGCAAAACCTAGATTTACGATACATCAACAATGACAGGTTTTATTTCCGGCTGAAAAAGTTTGAAATTCTCCACGTCCTTTCTCCAGTGAATGCTGCCTCCCCTGTAGACTTTTTGTTTCCAGTCGAATGCCCACTGGTGCTAAAATCAGCCCTACCTCCGGCCAAGTGGTACGTGAATACTGTCCATCATTCCCGGTTCGGCTCCCTTGCTTCTTGAGGCAACTTTTCCCCACAAAGTTCACTACTACATTCTTTGCTACGTGCTTGACTGACATGAACACCGCTTGGCCCAGACTAACGCATTCGGAGGGGCCAATTCAAAACACCCGACCGCTCACACTTTTATATTGCTGCTCCCCCTTTCGGCGTGCTGTTTCGGACCGGCGCTGAGGCAGGCTTGTAATTGGCGGCCGCCAACTCCCCTCCCCTTCCGCGCGCAATGTTAACACCAGTCGGAGGCTAAATAAACGGCCTGCTGATGTCATATAAAAGCGTCTCCCACTCACATACACACTGATTTAACCCTGCGTGGCGGTTGAACTTGTGTTGTTCCCTTGCACAGAGTCAGGTGATTTGGGTGACTCCCTTCGTTCTTAAATTTGTGTATCCATTGTTGATGTTTGTACACGGTTTATCCTTTACTATTTTGCTTAATAGTACTGTACTGCCTTGATATTTGTTATCCTTGGGTTTGACGTACGCGTGACTGCTGGATACAGAGGTAGATAAATCAAGAAAACGTTAAAAACAGGTTTGAATTGGAGGGCTGCCAACTGACGGCATAAATCTACCATAATCACGACTCAGGATCAGTATACAGTGGTTCATCTCTTAATATACTTGTTTTATAGCACTCTTACGCCCATGAGTTCAGAGCCGCCAGTATCGTAGGCTAGTACATGCAGGAGGGACCAGAGCGTGCATGTGTCGAGTGCCGATGGACGGTTCAGGTTTCTCAGACACTGCGATAGAGCCCGCTTTCGGTTGTCTGGAAATTATCTTGCTATTGCAGCAAGGTGCGTGAGGAATGAAACAGCACAAGCGCGCTTCGAATAGTTTATGAGCGCTATGCCCACCCTGGGGTACACACGGTGGATGTCATCGCTTGCCACGGTCAGACTCTGGTTGGCAGACGTACAATTCAGTTTTTATGCAATCGCGAATATCAGTTGATCCACTTGATAATTTGATCATTGGGAGGCTGACAAGTCTCACCGCGAGGAAAGTTAACGCCTACAAATTGAAAGACGTTCTGACTTACGTATGTGAGCGGATGTGCATTATACCGACGATACCACTTTATGGCTCGCAACCACTTCTCACTGACCATGGTGGCCGGTTTGAAGGGATGAAAAGTCTCTCTGCCGTGCTCGTCCAGACTATCGATTATTTTTACACCGACCGCCTGCGCGCATAGTCCTAAGAAATAAAAGTTACTTTTATTTGTCAACGGAAAAAAACAAACATTGAAAAAACACTGTAGTTGAATATTCCTACGAGGAATTAACAAGCCGTTAGTGTAAATTAAAGAACTGAAGCTATGCCAACATATATTTAAAGATAAATACAGTCTCCTACACCTTCTTGGTCTCATTAAACCTACTCAAGTCCCAATTCGCAAGGCAGTGCAGTACATTAACAATTTATGCATCATCAATTACATGTTCTTCAGAAAAAAAACCCGGTCCGCTGATATAGAAAAGTATTACCAATACAATCGAGCGTACGAAAGTAACTGACAAGAAGTAGTTGTGATTTCCGGGA